CATATATAACTTCTTGTTTTTACCTTCACCACGTTATTACGACTCCGAATATACACTGATGTTTATTAAGACGCGTTGTCACATTCAACAACCAATAAAAGATATTAAATTTTCCGGTTTGGCAACAGATATGAGTTTCGCTTAAGCATCCAGCTAATCTCGGATGTGAGCAAGCTTTTGTATATATTGTGATACATAAATGGACAACTTTAATATAGGGTTCCCTATACATATCTTTATGTATACTGTAAAGAATGTGAAGGAGATATGGAAAATAGATTGTTGGGTGAAGAGTAAGAGAGGTTGGAAAGTGAGGATAACATGTTTTAGGAAGAGAAGAATTGAATGTTCAAGACGTTTTGCCCAACAAGTCACAATTTGGTGTGGTGGGCTCTTCAAAAGGGCAAAGAACAAAAGTGTGTTATGTTTCCATTACTATTTTCATTATTGCTATTGTTATTAGTTTTATAACAACCACTACTATTACTAGGTTTTGGTCAAATCAAGACAATAACAGTCCAATGGTTATCGTTCATTCAGGCTATAGTAGAAACTGATTTTACATTAATCATATTTTTACTAGCATTGCAGATTTATATGTCAGCTGTATATATTCTGAAAATAACTTGAAATCTTGAACTACAATACCCTATCTTTGTAGATATGTTTCGCCTAATGCTCAAAACTATTAAGATTTAAGAAAATTGTTAGGTTAAGCCAAGAGCAACAACCTACCTAATATCTATATAGTATATTACATGCTCGTAACTTGCGGTTTGTTTTGATAAAACTTGTTGATTATCTTTGTTTAGTGGGATTGTTTAGTTGGTAGATTTCTGTTCCATCATGAATAATGTACAAACCCCAACAATATATATAGATACACGTATATAGATAATGTGTGCGTGTTTTGGCGCGCGAATATATAGCATGTCTTTATTTCTTTAAGAAAGTCACCTGCAAATGTAACAGTAAATTTAATTTGAATTTCACAGTCGTAAATCATATGAAGTTATGAACTGCATTTAGTAAAACAAAAATGAACAATACGAAACGCGCGAACAATGAATCATTTATTTTCGACATTTTTTTGGCCGAACTAGTAATTTCATAATTTGTATTCTACTGGATTTAAACAAATCTGAACACTGTAAATTTTGAAATAAATAGTTTTTTGGAAGACGGACAAAAACAAAAGAAATAGTGCTACAAGAACACGATACTTGAATATCTTTTAGAAAAAAGTCAATAATGTTTGATATCAGCGACGAGCGAACATGACACAGAGTCTTCTCGAGAGAAAAAGAAAGAAAGCATGCCCAGAGAATTTCAATATATATATATGACTAAGGCAGAGAAAAGTTTTGTAAATCTTGATGATAAGTATAGTTATTAGTATTATTTAGTTTATAAAGTAAAATTTTTGTATACTATCACATTTGATTTTACCAACAAAACAATACTTGCATATGTGATATTAAGGACATACAGTACTGTATTATTTTATTGTAAGGAGTTTTTTTGTCGACAATAAGAACATTTACCATGGCAAAACTAAATTTCAATATTATGTACAACTGTATCCCACAACTCATCGAATATGTCAATATCTAAACAAACTAAAATATTAGCTAAATATGTATATTTAATTAAACAGAAATACTAGTTGCATATTCCCCGCGCAAGCGCGGTTCCGGGATCATTATGTTTGCGTGTATTTTTTTCGATTGTTGGTTTAGTGGATTCTTCTAATGACACCAATTAATAATGAAATAGAAAATTTCATGTTTTTATATCGTATGTCAAAACTTGATATAATTCTATATTTATAGTATTTATATTTGTATCAAACGATTTATCAATATGAAAATAACCTTAATTAAGTTAATATTCGTTATTTAAGTTTCATTAGATAGGTTTTTATATATGGTTTTTTGTAAGTTTTGGTTTTGTTCATAAATGATGTGGCATTTTTATCTACGGAGTCATCGACTGTGAGAATTCATTCGCCGAAGTCTGGAGTCGGTGGTGAGAAATGTTTTCAATGAAATTATAGTAGTTATTAAAATGTAAGAGAAATTACATATTCATTTAATAAATAACTTACTTAAATTTTGTTGTTTATTTTATTTTATTTCACATACATTTTGTTTTGAAAAATATTAGGAATGTGTTAAATGTTATTTATATGCAAAGTAAGGTTTATAGGAATAGTTAGGCTATAATATAGTTTTTAGTGTGTAAAAGTAGATGTGTTTTTTTTGCTGTAAATAGTTATTATATCGTAGATCAAAACTTGATATAATTCTATATTTATAGTATTTATATTTGTATTAAACGATTTATCAATTTGAAAATAACCTTAATTAAGTTAATATTCATTGTTTAAGTTTCATTAGATAGGCATTTTTATCTACGGCGTCATCGACTGTGGGAATCCATTCGCCGGAGTCTGGAATCGGTGGTGAGGAATGTTTTCAAAGAAATTATAGTAGTTATTAAAATGTAAGAGAAATTATATATTCATTTAATAATAAAGAAAATAATTAATTTTTGTTGTTTTATTTTATTTTATCTCACATTCAATTTTTTTGAAAATATATATTAGGAAATATGTGTAATGATTTAACTTTTTGAGCTCCTAATCTATATTATTCAACCCTCATTAAGCCATCCACGTATGCACCCGCGTGGAATTCACTTTTTTTGTTTATTTTTGTCTGTTCGTTTTTCGATTTATTTTTTATTATTTTTGGGTTGAGCTATATTATAATAGGATAGTTTTAACCGCGTAGGCAACCACGTGAGACTTGTTTTTTTGTTTTTTTGTTTTTTTGTTTTATTATTCGTTTTAGATTCATTTTTAACTATTTTGGGTTTGAACTTATTAAGGCTTAGGGTTTATACAACTATTTTGATCTTTAAAACAATAAGCCCAAAAAAAAAAACATAAGAACCTTATAAACAAAAAGCCCATATGATAATAACCTAAATAAAAAAAATCAAAAATACATGATAGCTGTGGTTTGAACCCACAATCTTGCATACTTAATTAGACACCTTAAACCACTTGGCTAAAGTGTATTTCATTGTTTATGACCATCGTACCAAGACTATGTGTGTTTAAAAAATATTTTTATGATTATGGCATTAATTGGTTTATGCATGAGAGCAATGGAAATTGAACTCATGTGCTTGGAGACCAAACATGGGGTGTTAGACCACTTGGCTAAACTGATATTCTTTGTTTGTAGTCATTTTAAAAAAACTATCTATTTTAATATAAAAATGTGAGACCTACAATCTGTCTATATGGACACCTTAAGGAGCCTTAAAACTGAATCATTATAATATAGATATGTATATTTAATTAAACAGAAATGTTGAATACAAATAATCCTAGAGAGAAAGTAGGTACATTTACACTTTTGTGTTTCCTATGTACATAAAAAGGAAGGGTTATGAAACTAAACAGAATCTGATAATTCAAATCGAATTAAACTGAATTGAACCGGATCCGATGTAAATATTGAATGAATCTTGCTCTGTAATACATCGGATAAGAGTTTATCTGAACTGAACATGTACTCGAATGGATACAAAATACTCATAAATTTAAAATTCTAAAAATCATACTACTAAACATGAATACTTAAGCTATTATCAAGTAATTACTTAAATATTAGATCGAATATCAAAATTATTATGTTTTAAAAAATTTCATTTAAAAATCAATTATGAATAAGTTTTTTTTTTATGAATAAGTTTATTTGTAAATTTTTAGTTATTAACATTTACTATATTTATAGAATTATTAGTTGGTAATTTTAACACTTTATAATTTTTTAACAACCACTTCTAAATCATTCTACCCAGCTTTTCTTAATAAAAAATTGTTTAAATTTATCATATATGTGAACTAAAGTGTCTATTTTTGGAATACTAACAAATATTTGGATAACCAAAAACCAAGACAAATCTTATATATTAAAACAGAAGTCACAACTTTGATTCATGTATGATTTTTTTATAAATGAACTATTTCTTAGAAAGATTATCTAATGTTACATAATTTAATGATAATATCTTTAAATATTTTTATCTTTCCATTTGAAACATAAATGAAATAAATCCAACAAAATCTTTTTGATATCTTTTTAAATTGTATCTCCATAATATTATCCCATATCTTTATCTTTTATTTGAAATACAAATGTTTTTGTTTAAGATATTAAAATTTATCTAGATAACACTATATATTCCTAAATCTTAAATAAAAAATTATATACTAGAGTTTGACCCACACAAATTTTTCATTTTATAAATATAACACTTTGATAATATTAAAAAAAAATTAAATATATAATTTACATTTAATTTTATATATTATATAATTATATAGTTTGTTGTTTAAGTTTCTTATTCTTCATTATTAATATATAGTAATTTTTATATATTTTAATTTATATTCTTATTGATATACTATAGATAAATATTTATTAATGATAATTTATATTAACATATATTATTTTAGTATTTTTCGAGGTTTTATAAGTAAATATATTATTATTTAGTTTTTTATAAACTGTAAATAAAAAGAATACCCGCACGGTTGTGCGGGTCGAGATCTAGTCTGAAATTAAAACAGATTCAACCAAGTTTGTGATGTGTTATTATCTCCTAACCGAATCCGAGAAAATCTAAACAAAACCTAACTCCAATCCTAACCAAATTTTAGAATATAAATGATGTCAAATTTTATATCTCCAAAACATTAAAACTTGGTTGAACCCAAAACCATCCCGACTGGGCGTTCGAATGTCCGTATATTGTATTTTTATTTTGATATAAGTAACATTCTATAAAGAAATGCTAATATAGCCGAATCTAGAAAAGAATAAAATCAACCCATTAAAAAGAAAAGTAAATAAATGAAGATGCGATTCAAGTATTCGACATTGGGTTAGTAATAAATGAGAATCACGCTTACTATGTGCATATACAGAGACTTTAAAAGCCTTCCCTTAAAACACATCCATCATTCCATGCCATTCCTCCTCCTCCTCACCATTTATTTCTCTCAATTTTATTTATAAAGATTTCTTCAACAAAACAAAGCCAAGTTCCAATCTTCACCACTTTCGTCATCACCATGTCCGATGCAACCGTAGACACTTACATATCTTTTGTGTGATTTATATTTATATACATATTAAAGATTCATTTGTTCATGGCGGTTCAAGCTCATCACCATCATCCTACTATGTTCTTCCTCAACAGGTACTCTCTCTCTCTCTTTATATATACATATATGTGTATGTACTCAAACGTTTGATGTTTCGATATCTCAGAAACGGACAAGAAGGGAATGATTTTTCTCCGGAGGTACAAAAGTCTCAGTTCCCGTCCATCACCACCGGTTTGACTTCTTAACTACCAAATCGATTGGTTATCAAAAAGAAATTAACCGGTTTTATCACAAGACATGAATCAGTTTAACGTTTGGTCGGTAAAAAACAGGGGTTAATACAAGAAAGCGAGGCAGAGAAGTGATTGATTTAGAAAACATGACGTCTCCGATGAACCCTCCGCCGTCTACTCCGCCGCAGTTTATCAGCCGTAGACAAACTCCTAATGTAGTATCCACCGGTCTTCGTTTGTCTCAGGGACAATCGCAGAATCGAGAACAACCGTCATCATCATCATCTTCTCCGATGATAACCGGAGATATCGCCGGAGAAATTAAACGACAATCGGATGAGTTGGATATGTTTCTTCAGACCCAGGTGATTATTATTTTTTTTATTTTTATTTTTTTAATCAAATTCAGGTGATTATATTTTTTGCCCTCTTTTTCATTATAAGTGCACTTTAAAATTTTACATACAGATTAAAAAATAATTAATGTTATATATTTCTATATAACACAAATATCAATATATTTAACCAATAAAATAATAATAAATTTTCTATTAAAAACCAAAAACAATATTTATTTATAACAAAAAAAAATTTATAACGACATTTAAATGAAACTGAGAGAATATTAAGTTGTTATTTTAATATTTTCAGTTAAGAAATTGCTGATTTTTCTTAATTTGTAAAAAGGGAGAGCAGCTGAGGCGCATGTTAGCGGAAAACAGTGAACGACACTATCGTGAGCTCCTAAGAACGACGGAAGAATCAGTTAGGCAGAGAATAAGAGAGAAAGAAGCGGAGATCGAGAAAGCCACGCGTCGTCACGCGGAGCTCGAGGCACGTGCAACGCAAATAGAAACGGAGTCACGTGCATGGCAGATGAGATCCGCAGCGAATGAAGCCGAAGCGACGTCGTTACAAGCTCGATTGCAACAAGCCGTAGCTCACGGCGGCGGTGGCGGAGTCACGGATGCGGAATCAAAATCAGGAAGCGTAGACGGTGTGGATGAAGCCGAAGATGCCGGATCGGCTTACGTTGATCCCGATCGATTCGAAATTACCGGACCGTGTTGTAGAATTTGCTGGCGGAGAGCAGCGACGGTGCTGGCTTTGCCGTGTCGTCATTTGATTTTGTGTAGAGATTGCGACGGCTCTGTGAGGGTTTGTCCGGTTTGTTTAAGTTCGAAGAATTCAAGCGTGGAGGTTTTTCTTTAATTGGAAGCAGCCAGCATTGGCATTTATAATTCAAAACAAAATCTATACTATAAGATTAAATTCATCATTTATATTTACTAGTAGAGTTTTGAGTTTCATCATCCTTGAACCTCTCAATGAAGCTGAGAGGCTGTTGTACATGTACATACTACATAGCCACATGCAGTGGTCTTTTTTTCTTTTTTTTTTGAAATTAAAAACTATTTTATTTCTGTCTAATAACTATTAAACCGTGACTTTTTTGAATATATTTAAGATTTGAACTTCATATCATATTTTATTATATATTTTAATTTAATTGTATACTATAATCTAATGGAATGATTGATTTGACTTCTTTTGGCTTTTATTTCACTAGTAGTTTTGTTTTGATTAAGATTACCATTTTTGTTTTGTTAGGATTTTACTATTTTATTTAAAACTAATTTTCATATTAAAATTATTTTTCCTTTATTTGACACTTTGAATAATTTTTTTCTTCCTCTGAATGTATAACAAATTTTAACATTTAACTGATCACCAGTATACCTTCATATTACATAAATTTGTTTATAAAATACAATATCATAAAGTTTGCAAATTAGAATTAAAATATTTATAATAAATTGTTATAAAGTGTAATTAGAATATATATACATCTATATTAGATTGATGTGAAAATTACATTTTTTTGGTCATTTAAACTACATCAAGTGGTGGTCATATGAGCCGATCTTCCAAAAAATATCTTCATCTAGTCGGATCTGATCTACATAGGAAAATATATAATCTATGGTCCTTGCTTCTTTTGCTAACGCGTCCGCTCGACCATTCTTACTTCAGGTATGAGACAAACTCACATCTTCGAAGTCCTCCTGTAATCTCTGAAATATCTTGATCTTTGCTGCGAAATTCGGCCAATCTACCGGATTTATAGTCATGTCCACCAGATCCGAAGAGTCCGTCTTGAACCGTATCGAGGTTATCCTCTGTCTCTCATACATGACGTTGCCCAATGACAATTATACATTTAAATGGGTGTATATAATTATAAGTTGAAAACACTTTAAATAAAAATTCATTTATTTAAATATAAATTTTAAAATTCATTTAAAATATAGTATTATTGAACTTTATATTTGATAAATATTCAAATCTACTGTTATTAAAGGTGAATTTTAAAATGCTTCTAATGGTTTTAATATGTTTTACTACATCTTTTTAGTTTATAATAGCATAATTATATAGATTTAAAAAAAAAGATCTTTTTAGTTTTTTTTTCTTTATAAAACTAAATTGCATAGTTTTAGATGAAATCTTAAAGTGGTTTAACTTAAATAACAGTAAATTTTTTACTGAAAATCAAATCACTTCAATAACTAAATTGTGCATGGTCGTTGGTAGATGTTATATGTTCGATGTTGAATAATACACATGGTGAATAATGTGTTAGACTTTTGTAGATAACTTCATCATATTTGTCGGGGTTTTTGATGTTGGCATTCATATTTTCCTTTGCTTCCATCATCTGTCATGCAAGAGGGCTGTCATGTACACATTATCAAATTATTGTCACTAAACATATACTTCAAGTCTTCAACGAACAAAGGTATATTTAGTTCACATTCTAGAATGGTAAAACAAATGGGTCATTAAGTCGGTAAACATGAGACTGCTTTTGTCCTGAATCAAGGATAGTGGGAAACCAACCCATACCTGCGGAAGTAAAATAAAACGTTAATCAAATATTCCATTCCACGTCTGTTCCCAAAGTATGAAAGTTACTTAAATTAGTTATACATGCATTATATTTTTACAATAAAGCTGTACCCATATTCAGCTATACTTAATACATCTATTTTAGGTGTCTAAACCCCTTTTGGCGATATCAAATATGTAGTTTTAAAATGAATTACTACGTGAATGTTGTAGCTTCGTCTTTCTTTGTGTTTTAACTCATAGCCTAGACAAATAATAAAGTGGTGGTAATCTAGTGGTTATCTCTTGAAACTTGGTATATATTCACATTAATCTTAAGTTTAATTTTTCTTCGAAATTACATTATCACTATCTGGCTAATTTATACTTAGAGTTCAGATAAAATGGTTAATATGGTGGATCGTAACAGATAATCCATCCAGCTCTGACATTAATCAGAAGATAGAGTAAACTTAGGTCAGTCAGTACAATACACTTTAAGACTAATTCACTATATAACGTGTTTTTATTCAGAACCGATTGAAGATATAAAAGAATAGCATAGACAATGATGCAAACACTAATGAGCAAAAAGACAATGATGCAAACACATGAAGGAACGGTTAACATGTAATTTAAATTTAAGCATATAAAACTAATTTATAAGGACAAGAAAATAAGATAATTGATCCAATGCTTTGATATATTCCAGTTTGGTGAGACAACTTTTTTAATGAGCTGAACCAATAGACTTTTAAATTTCACGTGACAATAATGCAGTCAAACTGTTTAGAATATGCAATATGACATGGCATCAAGTGCATTGTTTCTTAATATATATATCTTGGGGAAAAAACAAGTACATTTGTATGATATGACCACAAACAAATTAAAATCTAAGGTGAATACATGACTTGTTCGTTCATACATACGAACCGAATAGTAACATAATACCAATTCTTTAGATGTTTTGAAACAGTTGATATGTTTGTTCAGTTTATGACGAATAAAGAATTATGAGATCGGGAGAACAATATGATGTAGCAATTGGGTTTTAAAAGTAGGGGAAAAGGATGCATGTGCCAAAGTTGGTGATCGAAAAAGATGATAAGTTACTTTAGTGCGGCCCAAATGGAAACCCCAATTAGTTCACAAATGGCCCATATGTTAACAAAATCGTCCAGTGCCATAGTTTGGGTCCTTTGGGATCATAGAGCTCATTGACTTAAGGTTATATATCAAATCTAAACATCTTGCCTATGGAGAAACCTTTTCTTTTGAACAATCAAATTAAATTCCACAAACTGAAAGGGTGGAAATATTTGATTGACTAAAAAGTTGGAAGATATCTAAAATCTATATTATAATAGTTGAGTTTTAAGACTCCTCAACGCGCCACATCAGTATAAGGTGGGCTCTACTTTAAAAAATATGAAAAATGTCAAATATATGATTCGAACCCAGGTTATTAAGAAACAAACACTAACATTCATACCACTAAACTACAGGATAACTTGTACATTGATGGTCGAAACTAATATATATTTAACCGGAAGCCTTTGCATCTATGGCCTCCTTTAAAGTTGAGCCTGGAAGTGTATTATGAGTTTTATTTTTAATTGGGATTCATCATATTATATGAAGAAAATCCTCAAGTTTACAACAGTTATAGTTTTCCCATATTGTAAACCGTTAATGTTTAAAATGAGTTAAGATTCCTTTCACCATCGTCTCATACATGTCTGAGTTACAGAGCTGCGCCGTGTGTCTGTTCGTAATCTATTTTTTTCACCGGTGAACTTTTCATCTCCCCATCTTACATCGCTTGATCATAAATGTTCCTGATTTGTAGCCCCTCTGTAAATCATATATATATGATTCTCATCTTTGATGAACCCTATGTGCGTCTCCACAAAACTTATATATTCCTCTTAACTTTAACCATCTTCTAGAAAATGTCTCTCTCTCTCCTTCTCCAGTTCCTAAAACTAGCGTCACCGGCATCCGTCATGCAGCCTTCAAGTCTCTATGTCATGTTAAAGTAAACATAAGCCATACCAACTAAATTAACATATAGAACCTCAAATCATTCAGTATGGGTTTTAGTAAACGAAACTAATAATAATAGAAATAAAGTCATACAACAAATTCAAACCTTCTTATTACAGGTTCCGAGAACACCGAATCAACAGAGGTTCACTGAGTAAGGAATGCGACAGAGACAACCTTAACTGAGGTGAGCTAATCTCTCTTCCATGTTGCTATAGAAAAACCATAATTTCACAAAATGACACACTAAAAACACAATCAGACCAAGAATCACAAAAACTTGTCACACTACTGAAGATGACGAGGAGAAACAAAAAAGGAGAGTAAACAATCCAGTTTCAGATCTAAATTGAGACTCAAGACTCATCAAATTTCAAGTCCAATCATTTAAAACCCAGCTACTATATTTTCATTGTGTTCGAATATAGTCCTATACGACTAAACTTTTTAATCTATCATTCCCAATTTTAAACTACCACAAAATATTTTTGACAAATAAAAAAAAGTAACTATCTTATTCATACATGTATATAATTATACGAAGCATTAGCATTTATTAAACTACAGTTATATATTTTCAAAACATGTCATGGCACATTGAAAACAACAAACTATATTTCTTTTCGAATGAAAAAATTATTTCTTCTTTGTTCCCATATTATAGTTGTATAGTAACAAATACCTATATTTGGTTACATATGATTATTAACTCACTAATAACATTAAGATCCAATTAAATCGTAAAAAAATGTAGAAATACGAACACATATAAATTCGTCAAACACTCTTATCTGTAAATAAAAACAGGTCCTTACTCATTAATAAATATTGATCTCTAAACATTCCACACTACCCCTTAACAAACATATTTCATATTTTTCTCTTCAATCCACTAAATTATATTTATTTGTATAATTTAATAAAATCTTTATTTTTTAAAAAAAATGCTAATTCACTATTTAACAATAATATATTACCAACCTACAAATTAGACAATAACAACATAATAAATCACCCATCCTAGACATAAAAGCACTAATAACACAAATATTTGAGAAAATCATTACTAAAATAATATATGAATATTTCAAAACATATGAATTTTCACTCATTCATATACCAACTCAATTCAATCGGATTTTCGGTTAAACCCTAAACCAAAAAATATCCAAAAAATGACAAAATCCCATCTATCAAACATCATAACGCATCATCACTGTCTCCGTGCGCGGAGCTATGAACCTAGTAATATATAAAGATATGGTCTAATGTATTCATTGCTAATTAGTTTTAAGTTAAGAACTCATTTAACAGAATAGGAAGACATTGTGGTTAAAAGTTAGATCATGATCAAAGTTATGATGGGTCTTTGAAATAAGAGCAGAAGTTTTAACATCCGCACTACAGCGAGATTAAGCTACAGAAAGATTATTTTCACGATTGATTCAAAACAATTAGCTGAAGTTTAGTTGCAGATGAGGAAACGTGGCCCATTCTTAAGCCATT